ATCGTGGAGGCATTATAAGACAGAAGAGGATACTGTTAGGAATGAATCGAGTCATCGGTAACGCACGCGCCAATATAACACAGAAGGTATCGGCAAATTGACGCAAGCCTGCTGTTTTGATTGATGTTTTTTTTTATTTAGTGAACGGCATCACCGATAGTTTTTGTTCCACTTTTAATTGTGCGCATCGTTCACGTTTTTACTCCTGCAGATATTTTGTAAATTTTATTTTATCTTTGAAATTAAAAATAGTCTTTTAAGGCGGTTTTTAATGAGATCTATCTGTCAACATTTTTAAATTTTTTGGGGTAATTTATGGAACGTTGTTGTTTCCCAGTCTAATTTACATTGTTAATGATTATATACCCATTTGTGCATTTCAGTTCTTGGGAATGCCTAGTTCTTTTTATCGTGTTATTGCCCTTTCCGAATCCACACTAAGTTATAAACATGTTAATCAGCCATTGTTATGGCATATCACGTAAACTGTTGAGGTGCTATTTTACGGGGTTTTTACTCATTGAGATAATTTTGGTTTTTGGCAGATTACGTTTCCCATCCGAGAATGCCTATTTCGTTTTTGACGTTCATCTTTTTTCTTAATTGCTCATAATGCTCTACATTTGATAGTTAGCTGAGTTGTTTAGAATACGTTATCCTTCAGGATTTTTTTTCAAAAGTTTTTTTTTACTGAATTTCAGGGTGATCTAGCAGCAGTACGAAGCCTGGGTAACGACTGTCGACAGGATCTTTCGCGTCTCTTGGAGCTCTGTCGGGCGCTGTGCGAGCGTACCGAGCATCAGAATGCCATCTACCGTCTTGCGCGCACCCTGGAAGGCAAGGCGACCCAGGCACAGCGATGGCTCCTTGATCCTCGTGGGCCCCAGTGCCAAGTTGGTTATGAGGCCTCCAAGGCGTTGATTGCACAGGCGAACCAATTCATCCAAACGGAGTTGGAAGAAGGAATAGAAAATCTTAAGTTCCAGGGCTCCTGCAGTCGTCTTCACTCACAGACAGATCAGCTCTACGCCATGCTTGGAAAACCTCTCAGTAATTTGCATTTTTAAGGGTCTGCTTAGTTTATGGTAAACGAATAACTTTCGTTTTTGAATTTTCGACCTGCTAAAGTTTCTTCTGGAGGCTTGAGTTGAATGTCAAGGTTACTTAAGTTCGCGTATAAAACAAGTTTGACCAAAAACGTCACTTCAACTAATTTGTTTACTAATGAACACGATGGGATCTACACTGGATGTGTCCATTGGCACAAATAAATGTTGCAGTTCCAACCGAATCCCCAAGTAGTAGACAAAGTTTAAGCTCATTTACATACGTGTGTATTGTGTAACTAGTGAATGCGTCCAGTGCTTCGTGGTCAGATAAACTAGTATGAACCTTTGCGCGGCCATGCTTAACTGGACCATCAACACAGATTCTTCAGTCACCAGTAAGCTGCTTCCAAACACCTATTTTACAGTTTGTTTAATTTACTAAAAGAGCAAGTGAATTTTATAGGCCAGCTTGTATTGAATTAGTAAGGAGGTCAGAAGCAGAAGTACTCATTAATGGCGGTGATAGATCGAGGTCGCATGCTAAACTAATTACGTGATATCCACCTCTAAAACACGCCCAAAGCAGCAATGGCAGAACGTGAATAAACAGGATTAACCTTTTACAACCCAATGCACAAATTCATGGAATGGTCATACCAATTTGTTAGGTCATTTGAGTGCACAAATGGCCTATTATAGAGTGTTCGTCTTGGTGTCACTGAAGGTCACGTCGTTGGCGCAGTGACTGCTTCGCCGCGTGGGTGTCGGGCGAC